CCATCCCCCCAATTCCCCAATAAAAATCTTTAGAAAAAAAAAAGAGACTATCTTCCGCTATTCTGAGTGGCAGTGATAGTTCTTTTTTTAAAAAAAGATTTTATTGGGGAATTGGGGGAGGGAACAGCATTGGGGGATCTGGGAAGCGGAACAGCCAAGTTCCTGTGCTTTTGTTCTTCAGTCTAGTTGTGGAGGACGCCGCTTCACTGGCCCATGTTGGTATTATGATCATTGTGCTCTTCCCAGCTGAGGCAGATTGGTTGCCGGCCATTGGAAGGCCGCTCACGATGGCTGCCGGCCACTCACGGTAGCTTACGGCAGCCCACTGCAGCCCCACTGCAGCCTATACCGTCACTGGCGATTCACAGCAGTCCAGCTCCAGGTGGAGATGTTTTTCACCATCTTAGCTGTTAGAAGGCCCAGCGACACTGGCCCATGTGGTATCAGAACTGGTGGCCCTGCTGCTCAGAGCTTGCTCTCCCAAGCGAACTCTTAACCAATGAGCCACCTGGCCGGCCCTGATAGTTCTTTTTTCTTAATTTTCATAGTTTATTAATCCTCTCGTGAAAAATTGGCACAATTACCACAGATGAAGTCACTGCAGATCTTTTACTTCTTTTTGTACCAACATTGGCCTTTACCATCGTCCTGACCTTCATTCTGTTGTCGCATTCCATTTGCTGTTTTCTTGAGATCTTTTTCATCTCGTGCAGGCCATGTCTTGCAAGCTTGTGTTTGGGCTCATTTTTCTTTGCATAATCCAAAGAATCATAAATTATGTCAAAGTCAGTTTTTTACCACCACCAAAATGGGGTCTAACTCCAAATATAAAGATGACATCTGGTGTGGTTTTGTACATTTTGGCTAGTTTTCACCAAATTTCTGTCTTAGGTACTGTTGCCTTCCCAGGGAGCAGGACACTGATGACCATCTTTCCACGGAAATAGTTGGTTGGCTAGAACTTCCTGATCCAAACAGTTACTGGGTCATTCATGATGGAGGCTGATCCTCAGGCAGCTAGGGAGGAAAACAGTGCAGTGATATTTCCAACCCTGAGAAACCTTTAGATACAAGAGACTCAAGAGAGCTATATATTTTCATGTGCACACTCTCTCTCATGCTCCAAAAGTGCCCATGCCAACAGGACAGGTGAGGTCATCACTGCCAACCGGGTCTCTCTTCCCCAGCTATCTGCTGTCTAGAGGAAGGGGAAGCCCTTCCTTTTCTCTCCTCCTCATGCCCTCTACCTTACCTCCTTGCTTGTCCCCACCATTGACACCTTCTCCAATCCTTTCCACCTACCAGGTGCCAAACCTCATCGCTTACAACAATGCTGCATCCCCATTTCATAGGTGAAGCCCGGAGAAGCCGAAGGACTTGCCCCAAATCACATAGTAAATGACAGAGCTGGGATCTGAAGCTAGGTCTACCTGTAACCAAGTCCAGCGGGCCTTCCATTCCAGCCTAGATGTCACCATCTCCCCAGAAGGGGCTGGAAGTGACATTTGACTAGGGCTGACAATACATGCAGTTCCCCAGGTGACCACCAGATGGCTGTGAGCACTCACTTCCAGGTATGACTTCTTTCCTTACCTTCTCTCTTCTCCCTCTTCTGGGAAATCCCGTGGGCTTAGTCTCTTAAGGGAGGTTTGTGTGTGAGAGACACAGATAAGATGCACACCAGCTCCTTGTCCAAGTCCCAAGAATCTGGGTACAGTCAGTGCACACATTCTTAGCACAGACTCATTCATTCATTCAGCCAATATTCACTGATGACAGTTCCCTTGGGCTTGGGTTTAAGTGGGTGCTATGGATGGAGAGATGATCTGGCCACACCCTTGCATTGTCAACATTCGATAAATACTTATTGAACATCTACCATTTTGCAGGCATGGTTCTAGGCACAAAGGACACAGCAATGAACAAAAATCCCTGCCTTCTTCATGGGGCTTCCATTCTGATAGTGGAGAGATGGACAATCGATAAATAGATACTTAATATGATAGAGTAGGGAACTCTTCAGGGTCTCACAGACCAGTGGGACAGACAAACATGTACTCAGTCACAACATGGTACAGTGTGGTTATTTAATAAACACCTACTTAGCCATTATGCGTACAGGGAGTTAAGTATGGAAGAAGATAAACATGGTTTCTGCCTTCATGGAACTTACAGCCTAGGAAATGAATGAGTAATTTGATACATGTTCTGAAGGAAAAAGGAGGTTTCATGATATAGAATAACCAGGAGACCTTTTTAAGTAAGGAGGTCATGGAAAGAGTCATTTGAGGAGAGAATAGAAGAATTTAAGGAGAGAGCACAGCAAGTGCAAAGTCTCTGAGCGGGGATGTGTTTGAGGAATAGAGAGGAGGCTAGTGTGTCTGGAGCCGAATGAGCCGAGGGGTAGGAATTGAGTTCAGAGGGGTAGCAGGGAGGGATGGTTATGTAAGTCATGGAAAGCAGTGAGATGGGAGCCATTTGTGGGCTGAACTAGGGGAGTGATATGATTTGAATTAAATTTTTTTTTTAAGATTTTACTGGGGAATTGGGGAAGAGGAACAGACAAGTCGCTGTCCTTTTGTTCTTCAGTCTAATTGTGGAGGATGTCGCTTCACTGGCCCATGTTGGTATTGTGATCATTGCGCTCTTCCCGGGTGAGGCAGTCAGTCACCAGCCATTAGGCCGCTCACGGCGGCTCACAGCAGCTCACGCCAGCTGCCAGCCAGTCACGCCAGCTTCCAGCCACTCACACTGGCTGTCGGCCACTTACAGTAGCTCACAGCAGCCCACTGCAGTCCAGCCCCAGCTCCACGACTCACGATTCACTCGCCCGCGACTCATGGCAGCCCAGCTCCAGGTCAAGCAGTTGTCTACCATCTTAGCTGTAGAGGTGCAGCGTCACTGGCCCATGTGGGATCTGAACTGGCAGCCCTGATGCTCAGAGCTCAAGCTCCCAAGTCAAGTATTAACCAACGAGCCACTCGGCCGGCTCCCTTGACTTACATTTTCAAAGGAGTGCTCTGATTGCTAAGTGGAGAACAGGCTGGGGGCGGGCAGCAGAAGCAGGAGCCCTACCAGGAGGCCACTGCAGGCACCTAGGCAAGAGATGGTGAGGGCGCTGGTGTGGGAAAGCAGATTTGGCTCTGCCAGCTGAGATGAGTGCTGCGGCAAGCTCAGCCTTGCTCTAGGACAGTGACAGAGGGCTTCCTGCAGGAGGTGGCCCTT